CAACCCCCCCAAACCCCACTAATTATTTATAGCTATATAATTATTTTTTTATATATATATAATTATTTTTATATATATATACAATGGTTCTCTCCAATAATTATGTGGAGCCCAGCAACCACAAACCACACAGAAGGACGTCTCATGTAATAAAATAGCCGTAAAAATATATATACACATACATATATTTTATGTATTTTATATATAATACGTATATTATATATATTATATATAGTCTATCCAGAACCATTCTCTCCACTATCTATCGTTTCTCTCCACTGATTGCGCAGAGCCCGGCAAATACATGGAAAGAAGTCTCGTGTTACATCGTCATCATAAAGTATATATGTAAAGTATTTCTGTATGTATAATTTACGTATCATTTATTTATATATAATATACATATTTTATATATATATTGGTTCTCTCCACCCATGACGTAGAGCCAGCAGCTCCACAGAACGTGTAACAACATATATATGAAAATATCCCTAAAACCCCCGGATAACGGGGGGTTTTACGGATAATGATAATATTTAACGGCTAATGATAATATTTAAATATTATACGGATAATGATAATATTTAAAACACAGCGATAAACGGCTCAGTGCTCACCAGTATGATAACGTATTTTTGCCCATAATCATTCAGATAAGCCCGAAAACCGGGGAGGTCTCTGAATTTCACTTTGTCGTACGTAAAATCTTTCCTGCCTTCCATGTAGTCGATATCCGTGTGTTGAACGTCCTGGAAGAAACGGAGCGGTAAAGGCGGCGTTGAAAGGTCCCCACCGCCCCTAATTTCAATTTTTCCTATTAAAAATTCCTGGAAAAGCAGCTAAGGCGATCCGCGACCAGCCGGATGTGGGCACCGAAAGTAGTTTTTAAAGTTTTAAATTGGGAGGGGAAAAAAAAATAAATTAAAAAATTAGCTGCTGATGCTCTTTAATTTCCCCTGGAGAGCAGAAAGGGAATTCGCATCCAGGGGTTGCCCCCATTGGGGAGGAAGGAGGAAGGAGGAAGGAGGAAGGAGGAAGGAGGAGGGAGGAAGGAGGAAGGAGGCAGGAGGAAGGAGGAAGGAGGAAGAAGGAAGGAGGAA